CTTTAAAAGACAAACAGTGAGCACATGTACTCTTTTAAATGTGCTTTCGGACCTAATACTAGAATATTACAGATTTGAAATGTTTTCTTCTTTGACTTAAGTGGAGAGAAAGAGTACCGGGCAAAAACAATCCCCTTTGGCCACCAGTACACGGCTAACTCCAAGACTGTAAGGTGTTGCTAAGAGGGAGAACTAAGTCTTGCTGAAGTGATACAACATCCTCATCACCTTTCCCAAACACCTGCACTTGTCTTTAAAGAAGCAACACGATAGAGAACATGTTATCCGGCATTCAAAGGAAATCACTGTCAAATACTGCCACTGAAATCATCTTCAATGACAGAGTAAAGACACATACTGAAGGAGAAAAAGATTTAAAAATATACCTAGGCAGTGCCAAATATATTTTTGTTTTGAAACCAATAATAAATGGACTCTGGAGCCTGATTACCTGGGTTCAAATCCTGCGTGTGCCACTTACCACCCGTGCGACTTTAAGCAAGTTACTCAACTGTGCTATGCTTCTGTTTCCTTATCTGGAAAATGTGAACATTATTAGCTTCTTTCTCCTGATTTCTTATGAGAATTACATACCATGTGTTTACTAATAGAACCTATAGGATGCCTTTGATATAAAATTGTGCTCAGAGACAGCCTAAGTAATCTTATAATCTTTTCTACTGGTTGAGAGCTGACATTTTATACATTAAAATCAATACTTCAACAGAGATGGGCTTAATTTCTTGGTTCAGTTCTAGTTAGAATCAAAGAAGCATTATCAGGGAGATAGTCATGTCATTAGTCAAATATGGTCAAACCCCCCTAGTCCACTGCTAACAGAACAGCGAGGTTGGTGGATAGAGACAAAATACGAGGCATAGACACTCGTTTTATTTAGCACTTTCTTTATGTAAATGTCACAACATTTATTAATAAAATTGGAAAAAAAAATTTTTCCCCTCGAATCCTAACACTTTGACCCTCGGTGCTTGGTTGAGGGAAGTCAATCAGGTTCACAGTTGTACAGTCAGCATTCTAGTTTGGATTTCCTTAACAGGCTCAATAGCCTACTTCCTTACATGTGCAGAAGAATGTTTTAATGTAGAAGAAATGTTTAAAAGCCTGCTCATTGATTGCTTTAAAAATTTATGGAGACATGTTCATTATCAATTTGGTAAATTTTTTCTCAAATTAAACATAACACACACCACCAACAAGAAGTTCTACAATTACCAACTCAGACTCCTGGTTCTACAGACTTATGAATGAGAGAAATTACATTTAGAAAAAGAATAAAGATATAAAACCAGGCAGCCTAGAACAGTGAATGTATCTGGTCTAGGAGTCAGACAAATTGAATTCTGGTACAGGATCTCTCACCAGGTAAATCCATCCACCAAACTGGGACTCGGATTCTTTACCATAAAAACAGGGAAGATTACCTAAGACCCCTTCGAGCTGAAAAATGTCATAATTCCTCAACTTATAATTCTTCTGGTGCTGCAACTTGAAAGCACCAATAACGCAGAGAGGGTAAAGAAAAACCTAACAGTTATTCCTGTTTCTTTAAAATTTCTTAGGATGACCGAGCCCATTCTATTTTTTAACCCTGAATAAAGACATATATCATAAAACAAACTGCTTCTACCTATAACCATTTATTATCTTATGCCAACTCAAAGAGCACAAATAGATTCATCCAAGTTACAAAGAAGGGTAGAATGATCACTAGTTAGGAATCATGAGGAAGAGTGCCAGAGCTGAGAGAGAAGTTTGGTTGGCACATCTCTTAGATGCTTCTCATTCAGTACTAGACTTCAATCTTATTTTTTTTTTAAAGTTTTAACTCAAATTCCAGTTAGTTAACACACAGTGTAATACTAGTTTCAGGTGTTTAACACTTCCATACAATACCGGGTGCTCATCATAAGGGTGTTCCTTAATCCCCATCTCACCCATCCATATAATACAAATAATGTATATTTTTTGTTAAAAAAGACAGTTGATTTAAGTATCTGTTCTCTCTCTCTTTCTTGTTTTGAGGGGAGGGGTGTTTTGGATTCTTTTTGTTGTCGTTGGTGACTCATGACTTTTTTAAGTGGGAAAAACAAGTTCATTATATTCATATTTTTTATTTGTATTTTCAAGACTTTAAACATTTATGTTTAAATGTGAGAAGAAAAATAGTATTCGAAACTGATTCTTGAAACAATGCAAGCTTGTATCCCAATAACTTTCTGACATGGTAAGAAGATTCTGTCTATAGTGAACTCTGCACACTTTCTCCAAGTATTACCCCTGGAAGACAGGAATTGGCTGCTGCGTGCACACACGCACACACCACCACATACATCTATCTTAAGCCAAACCCTTGTCTTGCAGATGTAGAAATTGCTGCTTTCTCTGATAAAACTGGTTTTAGACTTGGGGCGCCTGGGTGGCTCAGTGGGTTAAGCCTCTGCCTTCGGCTCAGGTCATGATCTCAGGGTCCTGGGATGGAGCCCCACATGGGGCTCTCTGCTCAGCAGGGAGCCTGCTTCCCCCTCTCTCTCTGCCTGCCTCTCTGCCTACTTGTGGTCTCTGTCTGTCAAATAAATAAAATCTTTAAAAAAAGAAAACTGGTTTTAGACAAAAAACAGGGTTAATCACTCTCTTAGATCATGCTAATGTTAACAGAGAAAAGGCATTCTTTTCTTCTATATGAAACCTGAAATGAGGAAAAGCAATTCTAGTGTAAATGATGCAAGCATTATAATTACCATATATAAGAAAACCCAAGAAGATTCAATCACTATATAGAATGGTAAAGTACCAACTCATTTCTTTCATTAATCATATTGTTAAATAAATTGTGTGCAAAAGACAAAAGGGTGGTCCTTGAATTCATGTAGCTGGTATTAACACAGTGTTTGGGGGCGGGAAGGGGGTTGCTATGACAATGCTGTTGCATTCCTTATTCCCCATCTCACCCATCCCCAGACCCATCTCCCCTGGGTAACCATCAGATTGTTCTCTATTGTTAAGAGTCTGTTTCTTGGTTTGTCTTACTACTGGCCAAGATCTCATGGTTTTACAATGCATTTAATGAAGCTTGGACTTGAGATGGCCTGAAGTATACTGCTGTCTAAATGTGAGATGCTAAAATACTGTAACCCTAATACTCTTTCTTAATTATCTAACTCTGCCTTACCAAAAATGACTGGCACCCACGCTGGCCCCAATAATGACTACTTCCTATTCCAAGTAAGCGGACCATACATTTGTAAAGGTCTCATCTAATTCCTTCCTGATCTGACTCACTGATGTTCATTTCTTCTTTTTATTTACTTACCCTCTCTGTAGCTTCTACAAGAAAGCCTCTCAGCCACAAAATCCCTCAGCTCCCCCAACCTATTTTGGGGGTCTGAAATATAAATAACTTCAACTCACCCCAGAAAGTTGGACTGAAATTTTAATAAAATTATCTGCATGCCTATACTATTGCATTTTATCCAACTTAGTTATCAGAGATGACAGTGAAACAAAAGGACAAATGAACAAAGCAAAAAGGTCCCCTCTCTGAGGGGAGGACTGCCCTCCTCAGGAACATGTTCCCCTCAAAGATCCCCTCCAGAGACACCCTCCGTCTCAGGATGCCACCTCTCTCAGAGAAACAGGAAGTCTAAATGTTGACTTAGCAGTCAAATCAATTCTGATTCACAACACCTTTATTCAAGCTCCTACTTTGTACCAGGCACTATGCCAGTTGCTTAATCTAGATTAACTCTTTAATATAGCCACATAGCATACTGGAAATCATTAACTCTATTTTGCCAGTAAATAAAGTGGGTATCAGAGAAAGCTAAGTGGCTTGCCCAAGTATTTCAGACCAAAGTCTTCTGCTTTTGAGACTAGTGTTAATTATCTCACCATGGACCCAAGAAGACAATCAACATCCATGGTCCATTTCATATGGAAATGCATAACTTCAGTGCTCTAACGTGCCAGTCTTGGATGTGTTCATCTAGTGAAATCTAGAAAATGCTCAACATAAGATGGACTGCTCACAAAGAAGTTCACTGGAAACCTGTAACATGAATACTGACTTAACAAAAGCACTGACACTTCTTCATACAGCTTTAAAATAGTTTATCCCCATTTAACCTCCCCTCCACCTCTCCCAAAACACACACACCGACACACTTTAATTCAGGAAAATTATATCAAAACTAAATTCAAAAGATCATTTGAAGTTTAGTATTCCCTGCCCATTGATAAAGATGCTAAAGGACAGGTAAATGACCTGAGAATGATGAGCAAGAAGCAATGAAATGCTGGATAATCCATAAACAGACAGGGAAGGACTAAATGACATGTATGGCACATGTAAACAATGTAATGTGTCATCTTATTTCCCAGTTAGACTTAAACCCTAAAGTAGAGAGGAAATATTCATAGCCTTGACCAAGTATCGGCTCCATCAAGCATTCACATAATCAGATCCTTCCCCACCATCTCAGGAACAGGAAGAATGCCTAACAGAGCAGGACCTCACAGAGCAAAGAGACTTTGGTCACCATTTAACCCAGCACCCTCAATTTGCAATTAAGGAATTTCTGGCCTAGTCAAGCAACCCACTTCAAGTCATCAACCAGTCTCAGTGCCAAAACAAAAGTTGACACCTCCCAGTGTTCTTTTCACAGCACCATACCACTGCTACCAAAGCTGCACCACAGGAGCTAACACCTACTCCTCACCCACATATATTTTTTATTTTACATACCAATTTACATATGGTAATCCAGGAAATATCACCATATAACCACAGCTTGCCAATTTGGCAAAACTGCTAAGGTGTACTCTGCCTGCCCCTAAAACCCGAATTTCTTTCTACTCCCATCATTCACTTCCATCCACAGAAACTGGCCAAATGCTACTTAGATATATTCCACGTTCAGATCTCCCAGACAGAAAATGATACAAAAACCAACGCATGAAATTAACGAGACTAGAGCTAGTACCTTCCCCAGAAAGCAATCTCTGGCATGCCTTTCATGTAGGTGGAGTCACTGGTGTCAGTCAATCCATTGGTGATCCCACCAGAATAGCCCATCACTATTCCACCATCTGCTGAGACGCTCAGGACATCCTGCTGTCCTGCCACCGACGTCCTCTCCAGGAACTGACTGCCTTCTTTAATGCGCTGCTGTATCATTGGTGTGAGGGGCATTTCAAAGCTAAAATAGCTATCAGGTTCTGAATATAACGTCTCCAAGGACTCCGCACTGTAGTATAAGGAAGTGTTGTCCAAAATGGTTTCAAACTGGGAGCTGTACACATCAGTGGAGTCTTCTGTATACCCAGGCCCAAGGATATCATCATCTCCTCCCCTAAAGTGCTCCTCTTGCTCAAGAGTCCTAGACAGGAAATAAGAATGAAGAATTTCAAAATTAGGTTAATATTCTTTTTATTTTTTTCCCATCAACCATACAAAAAAGATAAGATTCTGTAAAGCCAACAATTATATTCTTTGGGCTTGTATTTTAATATATTCGGAAAGGAAGGTATCACAGAATCATATTCAGGTTGACAAACCTCTTGGCATACATGTGCTACTCTACCCTCTAAATAATTTACATAGTTTCAAACTAGTTTCCTAGTATGGGACTATATCTGGTCTATTGAATATTTGAATAAAATATTAAATTCTCATTTTAACCAACTAATCTCCACAAATTCAAATTATTAACAGCTACTGTCATCCTCAATTTTAAAGGACACAGATAAATATAGTGTAAACTTAATGGAGTAAAAATACACTAAATTTTCATCAGTCTATTAATACTTTCTGATTTAAACAAGACGAAACGCCCCCAAGAGGATGACTACATTAGAATCCAAAGGCCGCCCCCTGCTGACAATGAGGGAGCACTGCAGAGAGATTTCAAGGCCCAAAATTAGCCAGTGAAAGACCTTTAAAGTTTTTTTTAAAGCCAGCAAACATGTTAATTTCAAGGCTAAACAAAACAGTGAAAACCTATAAACAACTTACAATTTAATATACATGGGTGGATGGAGCACCAACTAATCAGTACGCAGCAATTTGTTCATATATTAAAAATGAACAATGGGATAACTAAAAAATTTTAAAACAGTAAGAGCAAGAGGTCAAGAGTTAGAAAAACCTGGAGCTGAAGGCTGGAGGTGCCAATTACCAGCTATGTCACTTTAAAAATCTTCACTTAATCCCTGAGTCTCAGATTGCTATAAATAGGAACACAGTAACAACTGAAAGAAAACTACCTCCTAAGAATCCATATTCCTAGGTATTACGAGGACTCAATCAATAATATAGTTGTCTATGTTGTTTTTAAATTACAAAGATCTACTATGTACCAAATAGTACTCTGGGTTTATATCTCTAAATAGTTTCTTGCTGCTTAGGAAATAAGATGGGAAGTTCCTATGAGGAAGCTCCTCCTTACCCCTCCACGCTCATTTCCCAGCCCTGCACCACTCTCCTTGCACTCCAGCCACACTGCTGTTGTATTTGACATAAAGCCTTTGTTTCACACAACTCTAGGAAGCACATGTAGTCAGACAATTCAGCAGCCCTCCTCGCATGTTGTTCCTTTGCACATGCTATTCCCTCACTCCCTGGAACATTCTTCCTCCCCGTACTCTGCCTGGTTAACTCATATTAATTTCTCAAGTCTCAGCCTACTTATCATTTCCACAGAAAGGCCTTCTCAGGGCCATCAACTGAATTTAAATTACTTTTTTCTAGTATGTCTCTCTTCTTCTCCTTCACAGAACCTACCACTATTTATGATCCTGTAATTATTAATATATTATATGGTCAGTGTTTATCTTCAGCAGAAAATTCTATGAAGGTAGTGACCACAGGCCATTACCTATTTTTTTTAATATTTTATTTATTTGACAGAGATCACAAGTAGGCAGAGAGGCAGGCAGAGAGAGAGGAGGAAGCAGACTCCCCACAGAGCAGAGAGTCCAATGTGGGGGTCGATCCCAAGGACCCTGGATTCATGACCTGAGCTGAAGGCAGAGGCTTTAACCCACTGAGCCACCCAGGCGCCCCGGCCATTACCTATTTTGAATGTTCTTTTATGCCCAGCATCTAGTAGGGTCAAGAATATCATAGACAATCAAACACTACTTGTGGAAGAAGAGAGAAAGAGGAAAGGAAGAAAGAATTAATAATATGCAAAAGTGCATATTCCAGTGGGAATATAATTACTGAGCCGTGCCACACACCAAGACTGCTTTTGAGAGACGTCTAGAGATGTTTATGTGTTGGAGGTTGGGAAGGAAGGAGTAGAAAGGAGAAGTCCTGATTACCATCCTAAAGGAGCATCGCTCTAGGTGGATTTGTTAATTAACTGCACAGGAAAAGGCATTTCCTTACACCAAACAAACACAAAAACCCTTCAGCCTTGACATACATGTTCTCCCACATAAGCTGTAAAATGTGGTGTTCTGAGGACCAATGGAAGAAAAGATGGTACTAACTGGAAATGAGAGTATACAACAAATGACTCCGCCAAAAGGTGCACTGTATGGTCAAGACTGCAATCAAGAGAAGTAATGAAAGATAGGTCCTGTCTTCCATTTATCCAGGCTCTAAGCTGGTGCAGATGTCAGAAATGGATGTCAAAAATGGAAAGAGCAGGAAATACAATATGTATAAGCTTATCAGGCCCCAAATCAAAACATGTGCTACTTGTAAGAAGGGATTCTCATATGTGAATGCCATGGAACAACTGAATTATAAATTCAGTCTACTTCTGACCTCCGACTTCCTTTCTAAACTTAGAAAGTTGAGGCAGCCCACAACCAACACCTCTGTGTTCACACATGTCTGCAGCTTGTGTGCAGGCACACAGGCACACCGGAAGAAGTGCATAAGGTAAGATACAATGACTATAGGATATGTCAAGAGTCCAGATCCTTTCATATTATTAAAGATAACTGTGGGGGTACTGTTATGTAGCTGTGCTGATGCTGGAAAACTTGAAACATATCAAATATAAAAAATGTCAGAAATGGACAGGTTCACAGTTTCTCCAGAATTCTGCCTCCCTAATCTATGCCTAATGGACAGCTTTATAACAAGATCACTTTAATATCTTAGGACTTGGAAGGAATCCAGCCTATGGTAACATCTCTTCCACTCTATGAAAACAAGGCCCCAGGATACTGTGTTGAGTTCTCTTGGCCAAGCACAGGCTAACAGTTTCCTATGATGTGTACCAGGCATCACAGACAGTAGGAAGACTATGGGAGCTCACCTTTCCTTGTCTCTCTCCAGTTCAGGTTTCTTTTCAAGATGTTCTTTGTTGTCCTTGAGGAAGACTTCATCCTCTCCACTGTCAACAAGAGGCAGAGGGGAAAATGTCCCTGAGCCAGTGCCTGGATTCTCTGAGGAAGCGTTCCAGGTTTCATCCCAAACACTCTCAGTTAAACCAACTGAATTATACAAACCAGCAGATGAGATGAGACGGCTTGGCACTTTGGAAAACTCTCTGCTTTCAGGAGAGGTCGTCCTTTCCAATGGGATCTCAAAATCCACAGGCTGCTGTGTCTCTCTTTTCTCCCCTCCTGTCCACAATATTTCCACCCCTTGAAATTCCACATGTTTGACCCGGCCAGGGCGTCCTGTGGAGCTACCTTGATCAGACCTCCTTTCCCTCAAAAAACGAACACTGCCCGCCGAGGTATGGGTCACTGCTGGGCTACCCAGGGAGGATACTGAACAAGCTGGTTCCTGCACACAAAAAGCCCCTTTTCTACCAACATCAGTTACCTTGGAAAGCTCTGCCTGAGTTTCTCCAGTTAATAGCACAGTCAGATCCTTCTGGATGCTCAAGTAAGAATTCTCCTCAGTTGTAACTTCAGCTGAAAGAGGTATATCTGGTCCTTTTTCATGGCCAGCAGGAAATGATTTGTTGGCTCTCTGTCTCTTTGTTTTATGAGGGGCAATGTCCAGCTCCTTCTCCACCTGCTGAACTGAAAAACTAGAAATAGCATCTTTGTCCAGTACCTTTGTAGCCTGTAATGTTCCTGAAGCTATTCTGGCTTCTGTGGCTTTCAGAGTTGATATCAAAGAGTCAATGGGTTGTAAACTTTGTTCCTTGAGGTGACTTTGAGAGAGGGACTCTCTGACATCTTTTGGTCCTTCTGTAACACAGTCAGGCCCAGAGTGGTGGTCATCAAGAAGCTGGACCCCCTGCTGCTCTTGTGGGCCGCCTGGCAGAGACTCTGTATCAAACCCAAGAGAAGTTCTTAGGCCTTCTCCACTTTCCTCCATGGTCCCATATTCTGGAAATTCATTTGTGACATTGGGTGGGAGTAAAGTGCTTCCTCCATGATCACCTACGAAGAAAAGAGAATGGAGATATAAATTGTTTTGAACAACAGGTTCCAATGTGTATTAATAAATATCCACACAGATTAGGTACTCAATAATCCTTCTTTGATACTTTCACTGTCTCCTGCCCCTCAGCCACCCTGCCACACATTCTTCTCATAACTTTACCAGTGGTCCCTCCCACTCAGCTAACATGAGGGTAAAGGTTTTAGTACAGAAGGAGACATCTAATGACCCAAGCCATGTTTCACCCTGCTTTTGATAAAGTCTCACACATGAAACTCAGTTGCTGCATATGCAGTAAGAGAATAAAATAAAATACATATCACTTTCCATATACCACTCATGAAGTAGTATATCAAATATTTATATTGGGCATGAAAACAAATACCTTATGATCTAGCCAACAGCATTTGTGCAGTGCAATCTCTGAGATAGATACGATCTACTTAGAGTCAGTAAACACTTTTTCAGCTTGGAAGCCTCCCCTTCACTACTGGAAGTCTATGGGGAAAAAGGCTTTCAGAACATCCTTGGACAATGAGAGTGAAGTCAAAATGGAATAGGATACTTAATGTGTTAATAAGACAAATTTCCAGGATCCCAGCTGAATAACTTAAATGGTGTGTTATGCAGAACTCCAATATGTGAAGAAGTAAAAATAGTAAATAGTATATATTTACTGCAACAAACCAAATTTACAACATTTTTCTTATTAAAATGGCAGTCAGTGAGAACAACGAAAATGTTCTGATGAAGAAAATTTTAAATTGGGAGTTTATGGGTAACAGGTACAGTTATATCAGCTCTGATAATCCAATTTCCTTCTGAACTTGGTTTTGGTTACTTTGTATCAAGAAAATCCTCATGTACACTAGAAATGTAGTATACCACTTTGACAACTTTATGAAAGAGGACAGGTGTTGCTATGTTCTTATTTTTAAAGCCCTGTGAACTACAACCTTTCTACTTAGTGAAATATTAGATAAATATCTGAATATATGTACTAAAATGACATGAAAGACTTGATTCCAAGGCATACACAAAATGAAGTTAACTTGGAAACATGAGTTACCATATAGTATCCCACAGTATGCAAAATATGATGAATAGTAATACATCTGAGAGTGTATACTGTCTAATATTCCATTTTCTAAAGAATTTGAAATATATTTTTTAAATTAAATTTGAGTAAGGTGAGGATGGAATCCAAAAGCACTTCTCTGTGATGGCTGTACTTAAAATACCTTCATAAGACAGGACTAAGAGAATGTGGCTTGCTGAAATCTGAAGAGGGAGCATTTCTTCAAATCCTGATTTTGAAACAAAGACAGTTAAAAACAGTAAGATCCCTCTTACTAGGGTGGCATATTGGTATCTTTTCCTCTTTGAAGATTCAGTGGTTTGTAATATGCTCACTAAATTATACCATTACCACTCTCTAATTCCAAAACATTTCGCCACCCACTCCAAAAGACAAACAAAAAAACAAACAAACAAACAAACAAAAAAACCCCATAGTCATCAGTTGTTGCTCCTCAGTTCCAGGTAACCAACCAATCTACATTCTTTCTGTCTCTATAGATTTGTGTATTCCAGACATGTCATAAAAATGGAATCATATAATATGTGACATTCAGTGTCTGGCTTTTTTCACTGAACACAGTGTTTTCAAGGTTTATCCACACTGTGGCATGTATCAGAACTTCATTCCTTTTTACTGCCAAACAATATTTCACTGTATGGAGTTTCCTTGTCCATTCATCAGTTAATGGACATCTTTAACCTGTCTGAAGTGCTTTAACAAAACTGCCCATAGTGACCATTGAAGCCATACATATATTTAACAGATTACAGGGAAATCCATTCAACAAAAGGAAGAAAAGTTACTCTTTATCATTCAGGAGTCCACTTCGCTCTAACATTTTAAACTACCACCTATAAAACCACCACTAAAATAAACACTGGAACGTCAGCCCAAAGAGGAGTGACCATTAAAAAAAATCAAGAAAAGAGGCCTCAAAAGAATTAAATAATCTCTCCACCCTATTTTTAATACTTTTCATTAAAATGTACCACATAAAGGAGGATGGAAAATGCCTCAGTTGTGGGCAACAACTTGTGATATCTTGATATAACAACTTGTCAACTGGTCAAGAAAGTGAGACAAAAGGGATAAGGACAAAATCAAAACCCTGCACGACAAATAGCTTGCTTTACTATTCTAGTCCATTCTCCTGTTCTAGGTTTACTTTTCTAATAACAAGTGCAGACCAAGAGAAATCAATGTTCTGAGAGACAAACTGACCTGACCAAGGTAAACGGGACGATGTTCAACCACATGTTGTGCAAGAATTACAAGTCGGGACTAGATTCCTAGTCTTTTGTTTCTCAGGAGTAAATTCCTGGGAAAAACTAAGAGGTCCCTGAGTTGTTAGATCTCTATTTCTAATACCAGTAATATTATCAGACACAATAAAGAATAAAAAATCTTCCAGTTGTAGCTTCTGAATAAAAACAGCCTTGAACATCACATGGCTCTTGGTTGGTGCGCTCATCACAGGACTCAGCACAGTATCAAATCCTTCCTTTCATATAAGGCATTTCTTTGTCAGAATGCAAGAGCAGTTATTTCTGCTGCTTGCATTTCAGGTCATCACTTAAATTGTATTTAACAATAAACAAAACTTCTTAAGATATTAATCCTGACCTTTTTATTTAGAATTTCTGACTTATTCCTTGTTTTTAAAAATCAGGACTACTGATTAGGGTGATTTTTTTTTTTTTAAGACCAAATTCTTCTTTTACTTCAAGATTTTTTTCTGTCCCCTTTTGAAACAGGACCATAGATACTTCCCATTTAAATGCCTATCATTTCCAAAATTCCTTCAAATTCAATAAACTTTTATTAATTACCTGCAGTATAGTAAACATAGGGGATTCAAAAGTGAATATTGCCAAAGCATGAAAAGTCTGTTTAGCATGTTAGAAGAGTTTATTCCAGTAGCATTTGAAGGGATATACAGAGGACAAAGAACGAACATAAACAGACTCAGGAGTAACAGCCCAGGCTACTGGCAATAGCACAGGTGATGTGACGCATGCTTGAGCCTGGGCAAGGGTGGAAGGGACAGAACAAAGATGCAGGAGCTCCTGCATCTATCACTTGAGCCAGTATCCACACCCAGTATCACCTCATGCCCTCTGCCCAGCCCCCTCTAACTTCAACATGCTTCCACAAAGCTGCTGTCCAGCCTATGCCAACTGCTGTGGGCTCTTACACCTCACTTGTTAAAGCTTTTCCTTCACCTTTGTCAGTCTCTATCTAATGTAAGAATCCAAGTGAATACTGAAATAGCTATTTCTCTTCCAGAAAGTTTTACTTAATTAGTATTGCCCAAATTTGGTTTCATATCTGTGACAAAGGGATATGTGAAGTATAAAAAAAGAACTTTAGCACTTACCTAAATATAAACCACACACTAGTAGAATCTGAATTAATAAAAGTTCATAGCTTTTCTGCATTTATTCTTCCCCTTAAAGGAATCAAAATGTAGTGTCAAGTGTGTAGGAGGGAGGGGTGGGAGGAGAGAAGAGCTTTTCACATTCATGTGAAATATATATACATTGGGGGGATATCTATTTATATTCCTTTAGGAATCATCTTTTTCTAATAGGAATCTGCCACTTTGTGTATTTGGTCAGCTCCCTAACAAATTGTTTCCTGTTGTTTAGTAAAGGTGCTTTGCCTGTGATGAACTAAACCTAGTAATTTTTTTAACTTAATATATTGAAAAAGAAATGGGATACTTTTGAATGCTAACAAATCAATTTCAAGAGTACTTTGGGTTGTATATTAAATAGCCATCCACTTCTGGGAAACAGGAACAGGACTGAAATAAAACAAAATGGAATAAAAAAAAAAAAAACAACTTCTACATAAAACTAAAAAAGCTTCTTGTTTGGCAAAGGAAACCATCAATAAAATGAAAAGGTACCCTACTGACTGGGAGAAAAATACCTGAAAATCATATATCTGATAAGAGTTAATATCCAAAACATATAAAGAACTCACATGACTCAACAGCAGAAAAAAATCCAACTTAAAAATGGGGAGAAGTTCTGAAAAGACATCTTTTTTTCCCAAAGATATACAGATACACATACAGGTACCTGAAAAGATGTTTAACATCATTAGTCATCAGGGAAATGCAAATCAAAACAACAGTGAAATAACACCTCATATCTCTTAAAATGGCCAGCATCAAAAACACAAGAATAACAAATGTTAGAGAAGATGTGTTAGAAAGGGAACCCTTGGCACTGTTGGTGGAAATGCAAATTAGTGCAGCCACTATGGAAAACAATATAGCAGAACCTCAAAAAATTAGAAGTAGTACTATCATATGACCCAGCAATTCCACTTCTGTATTTAATCAAAGAAAATGAAAACACACTAATTCGAAAAGACAGGCATCCCCACGTTCACTGCTGCATTATTTATAATAGCCAAGATACGCAAACAGCCCAAGTACACACCAACGGATGAATGAATAAAGAAAATCAAGCATACATGCACAGACACACACAAACACTGAAATACTATCCAGTCATAAAAAAGAAGGAAATCCTGCCATATGCAAGAACATGGATAGACCCTAGGTCATTATGCTAAGTGAAATAAGTCAGACAGAGAAAGACAAATACTGTATGATCTCATTTACATGTGGAAATCTAAAAACAGCAACAACAACATCCAAGTTCACAGAGAACAGACTGATGGTTACCAGAGGTGGTAGGTGGGGGTTAGGTGAAATGGGTGAACGGGATCAAAAGGCACAAATTTCCAGTTACAAAATAAATAAGTCATGGAGATATAATGTGCTACAGTGACTATAATTAACAATATTGTATCATACTATTTCCAACTTGCTAAGAGAGTAGATCTTAAAAGCCTTCATCACAAGAAAAAAGATTTTAACTATATATGGTGATGGATGTTAAC